TTTATCACTGACCAGTAGCGTACGGGTCGGCAACTATAATAGTAGCGCCGTATGCGACATTCGATTTGAATACACATGCCATGGGCTTGCAAAATACTGTCAAGTGATTATAGTTTAATTTCAGTTTCATACTAGTAGAGTAGTAGCTCCGTGTGCGACAGGCCTAACTCGCTTATTGAATAATTTTACTCGCTATTTGATAGACTTCGACTTATATAGGCTATTGGGTGTGCAACTCCTTCAACGTCCTCTTGCAATAACCTGCCACATGTTGCTGCATCTGCGTGGAGAATAGAATTTTTATTTGGGTCAAAGTGCTTTAGTACTGGTGCTGATATAAGTTTTTCCTTAAGAGAATTGAAAGCTTCCTCCTGGTTTGTGCCCATTAAAACCATATGTTCTTCTTTGTTACGTCATGTAATGGACTTGCTATTGCTGCGAAGTTGCATATGAACTTTCTATAGAAATTACATAATCCTAGACAGCTTTGCACATCTTTAACTTTCTTTGGAATTTGGAAGTTCCTTATGCATACCAGTTTATCTTCTTCTTCTAAAGGGCATTCTAGCCCTTTACGTTCACATTAAGACCCAGAATTTTTATTTCTTTTCGTAGGTACTCGCATTTGCTTGGTTTTAGAGTTAGGTTTGCCTCTCGTAATCTTTCCAAAACTTTTCTTAATTTTGCCAAGTGCTCTTCGAACGTTTGAGAGAATATTATTATGTCGTCCAGATAAATCAATACTTCCTGTCATGTCCCAAAAAACGTGGTCAACTAATTCTTGGAAGGTTGCGGGAGCGTTACATAATCCAAAGCAGAGAACATTAAATTTGTAGATTCCGTGACCTTGTGCTACAAATGCGGTGTACTGTTTGGTTGGAGCTTTCTTCGACGGGTACCTGCCAGTATCCAGAAAATATATCAAGAGTTCTGAAATAGGATGCATTTCCGAGATATGACAGAATATCGTCGATTTGTGCTAGAAGGTATGATGATTTCTTTGTTACGGCATTACCTTTTCGGTAGTCGACAGAAAAACGGATTTTCTCATCTTTTTTCTTTACTAGGACCACCGGACTAGCCCACGGTGAATGACATGGCCTTATTACATTGCTGTCTAGCATTTCTTTTATTTGCTCGTCGATTATATTTGCCTTTCTCTCTGGGATACCCTGAGGACGGCTTCTTATTGCATGGACTTGCTTTTCCTACTTCTATTTTATGTTATGTCAGATTTGTCTTTCCCATGTACTTTGTTGATTTGGCAAAACGTCATTATACTCCAGTAGTAGTTCTTCTTGTGAAAATTTAATTTTGCCGTTTGTGATGTTGTCCAGCCTGTGGTCGTAGTGTTACTGCTTCTGGCTGTTCCCGTTCCACAATTTCCTCCTGTCTTACTAGGTGATAGGGGGGGATTTCGTATTCCGGTTTCTCTAAAAATGTTTTCGTGTTTCCTGCGTATAAAGCTATTGGATATCTTGTGTTGAATTGTTCTTTTATATTGAGGTTTTTTCCATCTGTATAAATGAGTATATTCAGTGTCAGTCGATTTATTGTTAGCCAATTTAGATAGGATTTACATTTGTAGCCCATTGTCTCGTTTAGGTTGCCTGTATTGCCCATGATTTCTAATTCTATTGTCTTTATCTCATTCTGTTTTACCGTGTAGTCCTTTTTGGCTCCTATTTTATGTGCTTTTTCTTGGGTGTCCGTGACTTTTCGCATTAGAGGCCTAATTTCATCGTCAATTTTTGACTCTATCTTCCGACTCTATCTGGTTTAACTCTTTGAATGCTGACTACGACTCCTGTGTCTTTAAACACAAAATACAGCATATGTTTGAATATTTCCCATTCTTTTTCCAGTCGCCATCCTTGTCTAGGAAATACCAGTTTTCTTGAAGGATTGCCCTTTTATGCTTTTTCTCAGTGCTATCAAGCATTTATACATGTTTCTTGGTGTGGGTTTTGTTTTGTACTTGTCTTTTACAAAAAGGAACACTGTTGAGTTTCTGTCATGGTTTATTACTGTTAATGGCCCGACTGTGCCCTCTGCTTTCCTCCTTGGGAGCATGTGTCTGTAGGATTTGTAGACATCTTTCTTTGTTTTGTAATTTCATGTTACCCCCAACACCATGGTGGCATTGCTTTGCAGCTGGTTTCTGTGTCTGATTTCTTCTTTAAGGCAGCTGTTCACTTCTCCCTTTTTTATCTGTGAATGTGCTCTGAGAAATTTGTCAAATTCTTTTTTTCAGTAGATATAAGCAGCTTCCATGGTAGATCTATAATCTTATTTTCCGTTAGAAATTCCATACCTAGGATTATTGGTTGTATAGATGTTAAAATTACTTTTGTTTTAACGGTGCCTCTCCACACCATGCTTCCCGAAACTACTGTAGCAAATGGCTGCCTTATGTTCCTTTTTCCCACAATAGTAGGATGTGATTTCATTGCTGCATTGTTGGGGTGATCTGGTATCATACGCCTTTTGCTCTGATGAATGTAGTCCCCATCAGAGTTCCTTTGGTTTCTTTCCTTGGGCTTTATCCACCGGCGTATACAAGGGGGGGTAATGGGGGTAATTACCCCCCCCCCCCCCCAAGACCGTTGCGATGGACGAAAAATATGTACCCTACACCTTACAAATAAATCTATTTTTCTATGAGTATTGAATAATATGCATAATATAGGTACATCCATTTTCTATTGATCAATGTGAATGATTACTCATACCGTGGTTTTTTTTTTCAATTATCAGCTCGTTGAATATTATACTATTTTTATATTTTTACTTTTCAGCAACTGGCCCTTACTTGTTTTCTAGTTTGCACAGTGTCCGCATTGCCCGCATGCCATTTATAGCGAATTCTACTCAAAGGGATAGTGCACACTGAGTGTATTCGTGTCTTTCTCTACTAGCTTGCATAAGAAAGAGATAAATACATTTTTTGTATTAATTCTACCAATAGAATTCGCTATAATCAAAAAGTTTTAGGGGAATCCCATAACGAATTCCACTGGTAAAATCAGTGCAAAAATTATTTTTATCTCTTTCTTATTCAAGCTGGTAAAATAAGACACGAAGACACTCGGTGAAGCAGCCGATTGCGGAAAACAGATATTCCGCATGTGTTAGGTACACAATAGTTTTTCTAAAGACATGCGGAAATAAGTACAGTGGAAATCATTGCAATTGGCACAAACTTGTTTAACATCCCTCGTATCAAGTCAAAATTCTAACCAATAATTTTGTTTAGTGCAGTGGTGTGCATGATAATTTAGCTCCTGTCGACCCATTTTCCCTTCAAATTCATGATGTCACTATGGCGTTACTGTCATAACTTAGGGTCAAATGCCTCTTGTCCTTTCGTAATTGTTATATAAGCATATGGTAAACTATTTTAGTTGATTTTAGAAAACGAATATTTTTTCCTTTAACAGTTTATTAAAACTATTATGTTCACCACTGACTTATCAGTCTAACAAGATTTTGAGATTACCTGTGTGTCAAAGAAGCAAAATTTTAACCCGTTACGGGGGATGTTTTTAAAGTGTGTGCCAATTGCAATGATTCCCACTGTGCCTACATAATTTGTAGTAAATTATTGTTTTTTTTTTTGACAGCCGTGCGGAAAAGATTTTTCCGCACCGATATCCGTGCGGAAAAAATTTTGCCGCACCTTGCGAGAAAATCGATTTTCCGCACTGTTTAATTTTCCCCACTTTCGTAGAGAAATGTTTTGACGGCTCAAAGTAAACGATTTTGGGCGTGGCACCCGGTAATAGTATATTTCCTAACAAGTGCGGAAAGTGCCACTTTTCCGCACGCGATTGCAGTTTGCCGAACGACGCGTAGCGGAGTTCGGCAAGCAATCAAGTGAGGAAAAGAGACTTTCCGCACGAGTTAGGAACACTATTTTTTCTACGAGTTAGAAGGAACGTACCTACGTAATGTAAATTTTAACACCAATATTTGATAATATTTCTTCTTCAACACCTGGTATTAAAAACAAATCGAGTAATTTTTTCTTAATATAAATAGGGTACTTTTACAAATAAAACTCATTTATTTATTAATAAAAAAAAAAAAACTAAATCTGAAATAATGTGCCTTATTCTGAAGACAATAAAATCGAGAACTTTTAACAATAATTTTTACTATGAAATTTTCGAAAAAGCATAAAGTAACCATTCTATAGTAATTTCAGAAGAAAAGTTGAGTTTAAACCAAAATAATTTAATAAATAACGTTATTGTGTCAATAATTCTCAACGCTGATATTTGTGTAAGTGTGTCAGCTCATAATTTAAAAATTGACATCTGTCACTTTTCCGCACTAGTGCGGAAAAGTGAAACTCTCCAAACTAAAATGCGTGCGGAAAAGTGTACTTTTCCGCACACTCGTAGAAAAAAAAAAGTTCGCCTCCGGCGGGCTGGCTTGGGCTGATTACCTCCCCCCAGACGTATGGGCTGGATACGCCGGTGGCTTTATCTATCGTTTGTGTGATTCCTTTAACTTCTTCCAATGTTAAAGGAGGTCTATTTGGTAAATTTGTGAGCCAGTAGTAGTGGTAGAAATTATAACCACAGGTTAGCTGCGCAGTCTAGAAATGTCTCAAAATAAGTAATTTTAAGTGTGTCATTTCACCCGTTTGCTATGGCTGTCCTTTCATAGGCCCTCAAAAGTTCTGTGGCGCCGTTTCTGCAAGGGTGGAACATCGGAGGGTTTATAAATTGGGGTACCGCTGCTTTTTTTTCCGTTTGCATGGCTTCGACAATAGTTGTATTGACCATTTTGCTGTTATCTGTGAGGATGGGACTTTGTACAGGCGGTATGTCTGTTAGTTGATAAATTTTATTGCTGACTCGCCATTCAATCATATACAGCGTCACATTTTCCCAAGTAGCTTTGCTTGTTGACAATATGAAATAGCAAGGGATTTTGTCAGCATTTCAAATTGCATCAAATGGATCATGGGTAAAATAAAAGACAAATTAGTTATGCTTTCAAATAATTTCTTCACTTACAAAGTCCACTTAGTGTTCTTTAACAATAATAATTTTCAATAAATTACAATAGAATTACTGCGTCTAGTTAGAACCCAAATAGTAGAAACTAAAAATCTTGCACTGAATTCTCATAGAAAATAAACCAAAAAAAAAAGTTGATACCTCTTGCCCCCCAAGAAAAAAAAAGTTCTAACAGATCTATACAGCTACCAAATTTGTGAAAAAAAAACAGTAATTTTATCCTAAATGGGCAGTAAAAAATATACACTAAGACTAAATCCGCTCCCCGGATTTTAATTTATCATTATTAAAATAAAAATATTTATCACTTACATACAAACTATGAGTTAATACTGACACCAGGAAGTGTGTGTGTTTTTAGTAAGCACAAATTATTAGACGACTTAGTCGACGTTTCTAAAATTACACCACTCAGTCCCATAATCAATTTTTAATTATAATTAATCACAGACAACTGGTACATACACATGCAATCCGATTCCACTCTTTTTTTTGTTTAAATTACATCGTCGATCAGTCAGTTTTTTCTTGTCCAGACTCCTGTGTCAGTGTGGCGGTTTTGGGTTTGTCAGATCATTGTCTCACTGTAAATAAAGCCAATGTCAATTATACTATATTGTGAGAAGTTAATTTAAGGCTCCCAAACTTATTATTGCTGACACACGCTTACCAATCATTGTAAACTAATACATAATACCTAAGTTTTGTAATGGTGTGCAGCAAATTAAAGCCAGCCAAAAAATATTTTAGTAGAGTTTCAAATAAATGCTCAAATATAATATGTCCAAATATTTATTGTAGTTTGAAGATTATCCTATATGAGTGCAGCTTCACATGGAATAAAATATCTGAAATTATCTGGTTAGAAGAAAGTTCTTTGGACAACCAATTTGAGCAAATATTTTTCTGGAGTTTGATATTACTACATCGGTTAGTTTCACTACACATAGAAAAAAATAAAAATGAAATCGAAGAGACCCTTTGTACAACAAAAAATAAATAGAAACAAAAAACTCTCTTCCGTACCAAATACACAAAAATAATTTTGCTTTATTCCTTTCTTGACGAGTATGCAAACTCAAACAATGCAAGGATTAAAAAAATGAATACCAATAACAATAATTATTTTATCAATTCAAGTAAAGGAACAAAGCAACTATTTGCCAGGACACCACTCATGTTCACCTGGCCCACACAGGCAGGAGCATCCACGATATTTTCGTTTTCCTTCAACTTTTTAGCATCCAGAGGATCATCTGACTCTTGTTCGGATAATTTTTCGAGCAGGCCAAGCTTTTCATTTTGAACATTCGTTTCTTCCTGTACTGTTTTGGTTTCTTCTTGCTTTTTAGCAATGGCCTCTTCAGAGGTAAGAGGGTTATAGACTATGACATCTTTTGCTTTATTTGGAAAAAAAGTTCAGTTTCAATTTAATCAAAAAGTTTTTTAGACACAGTCACAGAAATTGATTGAGTGCTTTATTTAAGTGACGCCGAATTACAGTACTCAGTCCCTGATTGCATAATCGAAAAACATTTTATAAACAAAAATTAAAGGAACACAAATATCAACCAGAACTTGATTTTTTGTGTGTCTTTCTCAGCATCGACATTACTTTCAAGAATTTCTTGTGCACCTAGCAAACTCACCTTTCAATGAAAGCAGGTCAGTTTAGCATTTTCTTCAGCAATACAAAAATATACAATGCTAAAGTAGTATTACTGACCACTTTAGGACTAATATTGTATTTTTCTATTTACCTTGTTGATTGTGTTGGTTATTCTGTTGTTGCTCATTGTTTCTGCGTTGTTGTTGTTGCTGTGGGTACTTGTTGTAGCCCCCACGGTAGTAACTGCCACGGAAACCACCTCTAAAACCTCCACGCCCACGATAGCTAGAAAAATTTAAGTTTAATCATGAAACTTTATTCACAGAATTCAATTCATTTAGAAAGGTACAAAACTCACCTTCCTCTCCTCGTAGCTGCAACGCCAAAGGTTTCGGAATTTAATTTTCGTTCTTGACGCCAATCCGTCCTTTGCATCTTGCCTTTCGCTCTTTCCACAGCTTCGCAGGAGATCTTGTCAAAGAATGACTTAGATTTGTCATAAAATACCTGGAAAATATCCAGGGTATTAAACACCTAAAGCAAAACCACATGATAAAACTTTAGTTGCAAATATTTTCAAACTACAGCAATTCCTAACGAAATATTCAGACAGTAAAAAACAAGATTTTAAACAGTTATTGTGGCTAATTTTCCTAATAAAAAAGAGCTATAAGTACCAAAATTTGGTAAAACCTCAGCACTTTTGAAACTGATTAATGGTTGGAAACTATGGTTGAAAATACAACTTTTAAGCCCAATTTATAAACTCACAGTCGAGATTCCGTTTGTGTCTATGGGATTTCTGATATTAGTGCAGCGAAATAGGGTGAAAAATGTTTCAAATTTTTTTTTTTGAGGTATAACCAGATTAAACCTTTATGATATCATTAGATGCGTCATTAGACATACGAAATGGCCGTTTACGACTTTTTTTAACGGTACCGATTTTTTCTAGATCAAAAGATATGTAAAATTTGTGATAATAATTGTTTACACATAACTCGCAATATCCCAGAAACTAATTGAGATAATTAAACAATTTTTTTTAATCGATGGAGGAAACTTGAGCGAATGTAACTGTGCTAATTTGGTTTCCTCGAAATACATAGTTTTTTCTGCATATTGGGAGGAAACGCGTCAAGGGAGAAGGGTAGCGTGGCCAGAGATATTTTCAACTTCAAGTACCGATAACTTAAACAGTAGGCATCATATCGTACTGCGGTTTTTTTAAAAAACTTTCTCGAAGCCTTAGCTTTAATTCATACGCAGATAGTATGGCAAAATTCCTTAAAACAAAAAAGTTTCTCGCTTACCGAAAAAAGTGCTGCAAAAAACTATTTGTCCGAGTTTCGTCCCAATATGCAGAAAAAACTATGTATGTATTTCGAGGAAACCGAATTAGCACAGTTACGTTCGTCCACATTTTCTCCATCGATTAAAAAAAAATTGTTCAATTATCTCAATTAGTTTCCGAGATATTGCGAGTTATGTGTAAAAAAGAACGAAACAATTAATTTCACAAACTTTACATATTTTTTGATTTAGAAATAATCGGTACCGCTAAAAAAGTTTAAAAAAAGCCATTTCGGATGTCCAATGACGTAGCTAATGATGTAATAAAGGTTTCATTTGGTTATACCATACCTCAAAAAAAAAAAATTCATGAAGGAAGCGACTTTTTCCTTGTTTTTTACTGCACTATATTCACTTGGTAAGGGCGTGCTAAACGCAAACGTTAACGCTCGACGGTGAGTTTATAAATTGGGCTTTACTCCTACATTATTTTACCTTCAATTATACAATAGTCTCAAATTTAATTAATCCATGAATAAACTTACTTCCTGATCTTCTTCTTGTTCAGTCTCACCAGCTCCAGTTTCGTTTCCAGAATCGTCTTTCTCCTTCTTCTCAGATTCCACTGGCACATCTCCATTAACCTCTGGCTTGGTAGCAGGAGCAGCGGCATCGCCTCCAGTAGCCTCATCCAGTTTAACTTTAGCTAATTTACACCTGAGCTCTTCAAACTCAGTATTGGCCTGTTCAAAATCGTATTCGCTATCAAACTTGAGCGTTTTCTTGTTCCCTTGTTGACCACCTTGTTGGCCTGGGGTAGCGCCTCCCGGCCTGAAAGGTGCCCCTTTTCCTCGCCCTCTGCCTCTGGCGATACCGCGTTGCTGGTTCCATCCTCCTCTATTGTACTGCTGGTAGCCACCCTGATTGTTCTGATGATGATAGCTCTGATTGTTTTGGTGCTGCTGATAACCTTGGTTATTTGGATGCTGGTAGCCTTGATTATGTTGATATTGGGGTCTTCCTCGATTTTGTACACGTCCTTGGTTGTGGTGGTATTGTAATGCTTGATCCTATTAAAAAAAAAAAACAGTCAGGATAACAATGTTTTTGATCTCAATCTTAAATTCTAAATGAGAGCAGCTTGAAGTCTAAATCATAATGAATTTATTTTTATTTACTTTAGGCTGGATTATTCATCTTTTGATAAACTGTCAGGTATGCAATCCGACAGATAAAAACGCAATCTGTTTTCCCATTGGTCGGCAAGTTATCCGCCGACCAATAAAATTATAGAACGGTTAATTTATCCTGCAGATGGCTATCAGCAAGTTTATGTGAAAATGAATAAACCGGGCCTCATTATATGCTTAATAAAAAACTTTCACAGGGATGCTACATGGTTAAAAATATATTGCTTGAGCTCGGAAAACACACCGCCAAAACTGCATATTACGCCTTGATGGAGTCACATGTTAGATATGGAATCGCATTCTGGGGATTCTCAACCCAGCCATCCGTTCAGTCAGTGTTTGTCTTACAGAAAAGAGCCCTCAGAACTTTATGCAATGCAGCTTACCAACAAACCTGCAAACCCCTCTTTGTTCAAGAACGGATCTTGACAGTGCCGTCAATTTTCATTCTGGAGACGGCCTGCTTGATTTTCACGAAGTTTCAGAACTATGATAGGGTTGGGAGCTATAGTTTAAGAAACAACAGCAATTTACCTCTACCAATCCTGAAATCTGCATTGGTGAAACATTGAATAGTTTATGAGGGAATCAAAATTTTCAATCATCTGCCAAGGGAATTTAAAAACATTGAACAGTACAAACTCTTTCGAAAAAAACTTAAAGCATTCCTAATTGAAAAAGCTTATTATAGCCTGGGAGAGTTTTATGAATGACAGCGTTTTGTTTATGATTCCAAAATTTATTATTTTCATTTCCGATCATGAGGCGGTTGTGTGTGGACTGGAGGTGGAATGTGACTATGGCACAGTTAAACTGCCAAAAGAGTACAAACGACTTTACTCTACAGGTAACTTTGAGACATTTTTGAGACTCCTGCGAGCAGACAGACTGGACCGAGATTGGTAGATGTGAGAATTCTTTGTCGGGGTTGCATTCTGCTTTGTTGAGAGTTTTTTATAGATCTTTTCCGCTTAGAACCAGGAAGTGTAAGAGTAAAAAGCTGTGGATTACAAAAGGTATAAGAGTATCGGCTAGAAATATGCGTTCTTTGCATTACATTAGGAAGTTTTATTTGGGGAATGATGGTTTTATGCTTTTTTTCAACAAATATCGTAAAATATATAGGCAAGTAGTTAAAACCGCTAAGCAATTATATTTTAGAAATAGGATAGAGATGGCTGGCAACAAACAAAAGGAATCATGGAGAATTGTTAATAACTTAAGAGGAAAAAAGAATACTTCACCAATGGACTCAAATTTGACTGCCACGGAAATTAATAAATTTTATTTTTCGATTGCGGCTTCTCTTTCTAGCAAAATTAGTTCTGGGGCTAACCCTAGAGAATATAAGTCACATAAGCGTATCCGAGTCTTTTTTCTTTAAACCTACTACAACACAAGAAATCAGAGACACCTTAAAGGATATTAAAAATAAAAATTCTGCGGGATGGGATGAGATTACGCTGAAGGTCTTTTCGCATTTGCCCGAATCGGTTCTAGAGGTGTTTGCTGATTCTGTGAATCAGTCCTTTCAATCAGGTATTTTCCCTTCATGTCTGAAACTTGCAAGGGTCTTACCTCTTTACAAGGGTGGTGACTGCCATACACCCTCAAATTTTAGGCCAATCTCATTGTTGCCTACAATGTATAAAGTAATAGAAAAGCTAGTCAAGGCGCGTTTAATGAGTTTTCTTAAAAAACATAGTATTCTCTGTTGTGAACAGTTTGGATTTCAGGAGTCATGTGGCACAAATGATGCAATTTTCGCATTTTTGGAGAAACTATATTTGGGATTAAATAACGGTGATGTCGCAGCAGCGGTTTTTTGTGATTTGTCAAAGGCCTTTGACTGTGTCAATCATAAAATAATGTTATGTAAGCTGGAAGCCTATGGGGTGAGGGGGGTAGCTCTAAAGTGGTTTGAGTTCTACTTTTCTGAACTGGCACAGAGAGTTACTTTTGATGGTGTTGATTCTGAACAACTGGCTATAAGTGCAGGGGTTCCACAAGGATCTGTTTTGGGACCTCTATTATTTTTATTGTACATCAACGATCTGTCTAGCATTGATATAGTTGGGGTATTTACACTGTTTGCTGATGATGCCACGATTCTCTGGGTAAATAAGGATGTAGAACAGCTTAAATCGGATATCAATAATGATTTAGTTAAGGTAAAAGAATGGACTGATGTGAATTGTTTAACTTTTAATGTGTCGAAGACAAATGTGTTAACATTTAAATGTGATTTTGAGGGAATTACCTTAGAGGCAGATACTGTTGCCAGTCAAAAATCGAGTAAGTTTTTAGGAGTATACATAGACGATAGATTAAAATTTGAGCCTCACTTAACATACGTGAGCAAAAAGGTGTCATCAGGATGTTATGCAATCAGAGTAATATCGAGTAAGCTAGATCTTGGGACAACAAAAAGTGCATACTTTGCACTCGTTAAATCCCATTTGCGGTATGGAATATGTTTCTGGGGTTTTTGTTCATTGTCTCTCTTTAATATGTTGTTTGTGTAGCAAAAGAGGGCGTTAAGGTATATGTTTAAGATAGGATTACGAGACTCATGTAGACCATTGTTTTTGCGTCATAAATTGCTTACATTTCCTGCTATTTTTTTACTAGAGACTTCATGTCTCGTTCATAAAAAGTTTAAGGAAAACATACACGAATTTTCATCTGTACATACCACTCGACAAACACACAATGTGAACCTTCCTATCCCTTCCTCCACACAAACAAAAAACTCAATAAAAATTAAAACAACATGGGATACAATAAAAACAAACATACAAAAAAAGCCCTCAAAATTAAAAGAAAACCTGGAACTGGAAATAGATAATAGAAAAATTACTGATCCAACTCAAGTCGCAAACCATTTTGCTCAGTTTTACCAAACAATTGCACAAAAACTCATGGAAAAAATTAAAAGCAAAAAAACACATACTGAATTCTTAAAAAATGTTAAAGTAAATCTAAACCGTCCATTTTCATTCAAGGAGGTCCCCGAAAAAGAAGTCGTTCGGATAACTAAAAAATTATTATCAAAACCTAGTTCTGGATATGACGAAATACCTATTACAGTTATAAAAAATACCATAAACATACTCAAAAAGCCAATAACTTACTTAATAAACCTCTCATTAAAATCTGGTATATTTCCAGACTGCTGTCTCATTATTACCAACGATTAACAAAATATTAGAAACAGCAGTAAAAAATCAGATGACAGAGTATATTGCACAAAATTCCATTCTAAGTAAAAATCAATTTGGAGTCCAAAAAAAGAAAAACACCACCCAAGCTATACATAATTTGGTGAAAAACGTAAATGTCATTCTAGACCAAAGAGAACATCCTTTGACCATCTTTTGCGACCTGTCAAAGGCGTTCGATTGTGTCGACCATAATATACTCCTTGAAAAATTGGAATTCTATGGCATTACCAATAACTGGTTTTTTTCCTACATCCACGGCTGGCAAATTTTTGTTGAAGTCGAACAAAATGTCAATAATAATTTGGAACAAATACAGTCAACGTTGAGGCCACTCACATGTGGCATACCCCAGGGATCTATATTGGGACCACTATTATTTTTATTATATGTTAATGATCTTGACATCAACTTTCCATCCGCTTTATTTACACTTTTCGCTGACGATACCAGCATTACTTCACATAAAAAACTCCTGAACGATCTTCAAACAGAAGGTAGACAGCTGCTAGATGAGATAAATGATTGGTTCGCGGCAAACAAGCTGGTCCTCATAGTTGGGGAGCTGGCGTCAAAAACATGCAAGAGTTTTCGCAAGGCGGATATTTTCAAAATAGGTCGTACTTTAGTGCTAGAATTCTAGCACAGCATATACAAAAACAATCAGCAGGCTAACTTGAGTGACAGCCCGTGTAATAAAGGAATTCATCGTCAAAATGTCACTAGCGGCCATTTTGGGATACGGAACAGGGCCTGATTAACGATAATTTAGGTTTTTTCTTTCCTGTGACAGAGTCGTATTGGCTTTAAATAAACTAATTTATTATTACTTACATATAATAATATTTTTAATTACTAATCTATTATTATTATTGAATATACAAGAATGATAACAGATAACACCATAAATGACTATACGAATATATCAAAATCATTTTGAAAATCATAGCTAAAATTCCGCTCTACACCGCACGCCTATGACCTCCGTCAGAAATAAACAAATAAAATAAAATTTCGGCGCTCCTGCCGTTCAATGACAGCGTTATGACACAATAGTATCCCCTAATGGCGGCGTGCGCAGAAAAGATGCGCGTGAGAGTTAGCCTGCTGATTGTTTTTGTATATGCTGTGATTCTAGTGTACAGTCAGCACTCACAGTTCCGGGACAGCTGGCTCTGGGACGCGGGCAAAGTTGTAATTTTAAGAAGCATCTAAACTGTTTTCTCAAAGCTCAAAATTTATAGAAATTTTGCACATTATCTGTTTGAAGGTCACAGATAACGTATGTAAATCGTCAGACGTCTAGTTAGTTGCAAAAAGGGGGTCAGACGTCCTCAAAGTTTTTATTTTATGGCATTTTCTTCGGTGTCCTGTCAAAATATATTTTTGCAGGTATTTGACAAATATATTTGAAGAAAATGCCATAAAATAAAAACTTTGAGGACGTCTGACCCCCTTTTTGCAACAAACTAGACGTCTGACGATTTACATACGTTATCTGTGACCTTCAAACAGATAATGTGCAAAATTTCTATAAATTTTGAGCTTTGAGAAAACAGCTTAGATGCTTCTTAAAATTACAACTTTGCCCGCGTCCCAGAGCCAGCTGTCCCGGAACTGTGAGTGCTGACTGTAACCATTTTAGTTTAGAAATGATTA